TTGTTTGTTTTTTTAAATTTGCTACAGAGTGTATGCACTCACCAGAGAGAGAGAGAGACAGATTGAGAAAAGCACTTCCCAGGGGAAAATGTCCTGCTGCAATCCCTTCTCTGTTCTCTTGGGATTTTTTTTGCGTGTGTGCACACAGGAAAGAGATAAAGGATTTAAGTTCTACTTTTTATTCCCAACACATGGGCATGTCCTTCCTTCTGCCAGTGAAAATGAAGAGGTCTTGGCTGGAGCTCTGAATCACATCCAGGGTCATGAATCCTCACCAGGGCAGAGCAACAGAAATGTAGGTACCACCTCCGTCTTATTCACAGGAGCCCTAGGCTACCTACCTCTGAGGGAAAACTGCATGGCTCAAGTCATTGTTTTGAGCTTTCTCTCCAGATGGCTCCATACTGGTTGGTTCACAGTTCAGCATGTGTACAGTTACCTAAATGTGATGTACAGTTTCAACAACGGCAAGGGTGTATTGGCTTTTGAACTGTCAGAGATCTAGGGTTAAATTCCAGCTCCAGTGTTAGCTATGTGATCTTAGACAAGCCATTTAGTCTTGACAAACTGTTTGAAAAAAAGGAGAAACCTGTGAAATAGAGATGAAGTCAGTCTTGCAGAATTGAAGATTAAAGTCTCAAGTGTGAGCACACTGGCTGGCACATAGTAGGCATTCAATAATCGTTAGCTTTTATTTCTTTATAATCTTTTAATCTTGCTTTATTAACTCTTCATTTTGTTTTCTTAAATAGTCAAAATAGCAAAGTAATTTGGAGAGAAATGAATATTTAAATTGAGCACATAGTAGACATATTTTTGTGTTATTTTTTAATTTTCATGATGGTGCATACACAGTCCTGCATGCACACACAAGAGAGATGCACCATGATAGAATCTTAGGCTGAAATCCCCTTCCCCCAGCTCTCCAACTCATCAGGATGTTGGGCAGCTGATCTGAACCTGCAGGTGGTCATGTGACTTCCAGCTTCGAAATTCAGTATGTCAGTGTATACAGAATACTTTCATATGTGTACTGTAGGATTGATTTTGTCCAACTTTTGGTGGTACAGTCAGTGCATTAGGGGCCAACTTGATCCTACAGTGTGTGTGTATTTTTTTTAGAGATATTTTTGCTATGGGCATGTGCACTCCCTGAAAAGAGAGAGACAGAGAGATAGAAAGTGAGAAGTCATCCCCCAGGGGAATAGTCACCCTGCAATCCCTTCTCCTCCTCCCAGGATCTTGGACATGCATGCATACGTGTCCGGTGTGATGTGTGTGTGTGTGTGTGTGTGATTTTGAAGCTACTGGGTCCAGGACTTGAATTGTGGTTGGCCATGTGGAAGTCCAGTGACATAACTACTACACCATCTCCTGGTTCCAGTATATATATTTAAAAAAAAATACTGTTGTATATATTGAAATTCTTTCTTGTCCAAGTAGAACAAAGTTTTTACAGGCTAACGCTGGAAGCTATTTTGAAGATTGTAATCTTATGTTAGAAGGCTTAGTGCATTTGTACAGATAATTACTTTGCTATTAAAGTTAGTCAGAAGGTGCCAACATTATTGATGCCCTTTTAAATACCAACTACCATCTGAAAATAGGAAAGGCTCAAATTATCCCTAGCATTGTAAATCTTCTGAACGTTACTTAGAGAAAGTTTCTAGCAATTTCTGGAACTGGAAAGGTCATGGAAATTCTTAGCATTTAGACATAGCGTATATAATTTATATTATCTCTTCAGATACTTTCCTTATTTTTGGATTTAATAACTCATACTTTTGTGAGTCAAAGGTAACAGCTCTCTCAGCCTTTTATGAAGCAGAATTTTCTACAGTTTCATCCAACATTGCACTTGGTCTCTTACGATATAGTGAGCTCCCTATTGCAGACGTGTACTGCCAGGGGCTGGCCAGTCCTTTGTCAGAAACAATGTAGAAGGCTGCTGGTCCTGGTGGGGAGATACCCAAGAGACAGCAGGGTGTGTGGCTGCCAGATTGCTACCTGCAGTTCCAGAGAAACACGAATTTGATGGTGAAGCAGTGCCTTCTATGGGCAAGCAAGCTCGTACCACCCTCCACCTGTCCCAGCCAGCTGGGTTCACATTGCGCCCAGTGTGATTTTCAAGCCATCAGGACATACAGTCAGCCATATGGGAATCCTGCACCCCAACTACCATGCCACCTGCTAGCTCTAGATATTTTAATGTGTATCTTCAAAGACTACCTCTAAGCAGAGAGGTTTTACAAAACTAAACGTGTCCTCTAGATACTGCTTTAAATTTGCCTTCCGGGGCCAGCAGATGGCATAATGGTTACGTTGCTGGATTCACACATAGTCGACTGCAGTTTGAGTTCTGGACCCAGTGGCTTAAAACTCATGCTGGGCATGTGTGAGTGCATGCCCAAAATCCAGAGAGGAGAATGGAGGACAAGGGATTGTGGCATGGCTATCCCTCCTGGCAGGTGATCTCTCACTTTCTGTCTCTCTGTCCCTCTTTGTCTCTCCGTTGAGTGTACATGCCTTACAGCAAAAATCTCTCTCAAAAAAAATTGCCTTTCCACTTAATAAATTTTGTACATGTTCCATGTCAACTTACATCAGTATCATTTTGAAGCTTGCATGATATTATATAATTTTCCATATTTCATCAATCCCCCTATTAATAGTCACTGAGGTTTCCCAGGTTTTCACTATCATGTTCTGATGGAGATCCATACTCTTACCTTTTTCCTGCATCTATGTTATTTTCTCCTCTTAGGATCAATTCCTTGGAGAAGGTTCCAAAGGGATTACCTTTTTAAAAATAATTTTATTTATTTATTTATTTATTTTAGGGATTACCATTTAGATGTAGATCTGCACTGCCAGATCACCCTCGTAGGCGTGTATCTACTGACCTAGTAACTATAGGAGAAACAAGGCCTCAGCATAAAATTGTCCGTAATACGTCTTTTTTCTTTTTTTTTCTCTTTTGTAATTGAGATTTATTGGTTGTGTCAAGGATTAGTACAGACATTTCAGCTTGTACCCAATTCTTAACATACATACCAAAAATTTAAAAAGCCAAGTATAGTGATTCTTTTTAAGTTATTCCAGTGACGTTCCAGCTTCAAATTTGTAGGCAAATTTTCCTTAAGAGGATATCAAGAACCACTGTCTTCAGATGTTGAAAGCTGTTA